AAGTTGGAGGATTTAACATTACTATCTTTAAGACATACTACAAAGCTACAATAATCAAGACAGTATGGTGTTGGCATAAGGATAGACATATAAGTGGAACAAAATTGAGAGTCCATGAACAGGCCTACATGTATATGGTCAATTTCAACAAAGACACCAAGGTAAAGCAACAGAGAAAGAGTAGTCTTTCAATAAAAGACTGAGAAAGTTGGATATCCTTATGGAAAAAAGTGAAATTTGACCTTTTCCTTATAACATCTCCAAAAATTAACTCAAATGGATCATAGATCTGAATGCAAGAGCTATAACTCTAAAACTTTTAGAAGTAAACTTAGAGGAAATATTTTTGACTTTGAGTTAGGCAAACATTTCTTAAACACAGAAAAACATAAATACTAAAAGGAAAAAAATTGATTAATTGAACATTAGCAAAATTAAAAACATTGCTCAGCAAAAGATGTTTAAGATAATTAAAATGCAAGCTACGGTTTGAGAGAAAATATTTGCAAAACTTATCGCTAACAAAGGACTTGAATCTAGACAGTTTTTTAAATCAATTTCTCATAAAAAAAGTAAAACTCAATAATAAGACATACAACCTAATTTTTTAAATGGAAAAAATATTTAAAGACACTTCAAAAAGAATATATGCAAGTAGTCAACAATTACATGAAAAGATGTCCAACCTCATTGGTCATTAGGGAAATGTAAGCTAAAACCATAATGAGATGCCACTATATGCCCACGAGAGTAATTAAAATTAAGAAGACTAACAAAATCAAGTATTGGTGAAGATATAGAAAAACTAGAACCCCTAGACATCGCTCTTGACAATGTAAAATAGAATAGCCACTTTGGAAAACAATTTAACTTTAAAAAAAATTTTAAAGTTAAACATTCACCTGCCATATAACCCAGCAATTCCACTCCTGGGTATCAACCCAAGAAAAATGAAAATACAAGTCCATACAAAGACTGGTACACAAATATTCCTAGCAGCACAGTTTTTAACAGTCAAAAACTAGAAATAACCCAAATGATCATCAATTGGTGAATGAATAAACAAATAGTGGTATATCTGTTCAATAGAATAGAACTCGGCAATTTTTTTAAAAAAAGAACAAACTACTAATATATTACAAAATAGATAAATCTCAAAAATATGCTGAGTGAAAGAAGGCAGATACAAAAGACTATTTATTAGATTTCATTTATATAAAATTTCTAGAAAAGATAAAACTTATAGAGACAGAAGTAGATTAACAGTCTGGGACCTGGGGTGGAGATAGGACTTAGCTCCAGAGGGTAAGGAGGTAATGGAGGTGTTCCAAAAATTAATTGTGGTATTGGTTGCATGACTGTATAAATGGATGGATTTTATGGTATGAAAAGTATACCTCAAAAAGCTGTTAAAAATTATTCTAAAAATAGTTAAAGTAGGCTGTCCTAAGGGGAAAAAATAGAGTTTAGTTTGTATTATAAATTTGCTATTGTCCCACTGGTCTCCCAGGCACAAGAGACTGCCATCAACTAGAGAATGAAGAAGCTAGCTGGACTCATAGCATGCTTTTGAATCCAGGTTTGACCATTTCCTAGTCAAGGAAGCTTGAGCAAATAGAAAGTATCCTAAATCATTCCCATTTTGTCATCTGTAAAATGGGAGTTGAATCACCTACATGGCAGGTTGTTTGAGACGTAAATGATACCTTGTATCTAAGACCCCTAGAACATTTCTGAAATATAATAGGCACTGGGTAAATGCTGGGTAAAATGAGATGTGACCTCATTTTATATTTGGTTACTTGTTAATGTCATTGCCAACTGTGGTCATGCTTCATTGTAGGAAAGATATGGGCGTGGGGACTGCTAATGACTTTAAATTCATTTGTTTGATTTTTTTTTTTAGCATAGTTTCTGAAAGCTGTTCCTAAATAGAATTTTAGAGATACTATATTAAATTAGATTTGAAGATGGACAGAAATTTTAAATAACATAATCATAGTGTTACCAGACATGACAGATCCCACATAGACTTTTAACTCAATATATATATCAGATGTCTGAAGAAGAAAATGACAAATCTATTAGATCATTCTGTTATCCAAGGGATAAAATTAAGTAGGTGTATTTTAAATGAATCAGACAGAAACTTGAGCTTTAGAAAATTCAGTTTAAACGGCTATTGACCTGAAACTGCCTATTTCTAAGGTCCATTGGATTATGGTAGTGAACATTATTCACTATGTTTCCATGAAAAATTATGTTAAACACTTATTTATGCTTCAATTTGTTCCAGAAAAGATTTAGAACTGCTTTAAAAGTTTAAAAACAAGTTAATAAAGTAACTGAAAATCCAAGAGAGTGAGGCTAGAAACATGAAAGCAAGTTATGTGGAGCCAGAAGCACAGTTAGTACCCAGACCATAAGGCAAAGCCCTTCACACATGGGACTGACCCCGAAACATGACTTCTAGGCCCATAGGATTAAAAGTTACAAGGCCCATAAGATTAAAAATTAATAATAAAATGTAAAAATCTGTTGCTTGAGAGATGCAAAAAAAGTATTCCTGACACTAAAATTTGAGAGAAGTATAACTATAAGTAGTCCTAGAAAGAATATTGTGCACAATAACATTTTTACACAGTTTCCACCAGCCATAGTACAGGGCACTGAATGTGAAAGCACCTCTGTATGTGTAGCTGGAGCTTTCACTCTAAGCCATTGGACAACCTTCATTTCAAGAAATAAGAAATATGCTTTTGATTCTTATTTCAAAAAAGAAAAAGTGTACCTCAAGTGTCAGTGTAACCAAAAAGTTATTTTATGATATTAGCAGAGCTATTATACAAGAATTTTTATTACACATGTCTTATTATCATATGTTTATTTCCATTTTAGATCAGTTATAAAGAGCTTAAAAGCAAAAGGAAAAATTGCTTCCCATCTGAGAATTCTGTTAGTTTTGAGTATACTTTATATATAAAGGAAGATGTAGACAACATATAGATCTAAATTTCTTTAGTTAAAAATCAAAATTATGCTGTAATATTTTTAATTCTTTTAAAAAGTAAGTTTAGGTTTGATATTGTCATAATTTTAATTTTCTATAACATAATCTAAACTCCTTTGAATAAGAGTAGCATAAATGTTCCTGTATTTAGTTTGCTGAATGTATGAAGATCCCAAAGCAAGTCTCATATTTGGTTATACAGAAAAAAATTAAGAAATGCCACTTTCTTTCCATGCTCTCAACTTCTATATTTCTTTCCATGCTCTCAACTTCTATATCCTCTCAGATGTCAAAAACAGATTACATTTCACTGTGAACCATTCTTTTATATTTTTTCAGATATATGCACACACAACACTGAAATTATTTTTATTTAGTATTCATCTTAATTGCTAATGGAGGCATACTAAAATTATTCCTCATATTTATTTCCCAGTTGTAGCAAATGTATTAGAATTCTAGCCTGGTTCTGTGTTTAGTTATCATTAAAAAAGCTGCATTGGCTGACTGAATATTTAATGATTTTACAGAATTATTTCTTTGTTTATATATTTTTTAGTTGAAAGAGTGGCATTGTGGCTATGATTTTTTAAAGCCTTTATGTTTTAAAAATAATGTTGAAATAGAACAATATGGTATAAGATAAAAACTGAGGGGTTCAGCTACTCTCCTTTATACGGAGATAGTCCCTTCGTTGTCAACTGTGGGCAGTTTAGATTTGTTGATGATGATGACAGACGATAGATATAGAGACATGTGACATAACTTTAAAGATTGTTCCTGACACTAGGAAGTTAGAATTGGACGTACTGAAACCTAAAGGTGCTTAAGCTCAGGGCTCCTCACTCCTACTCCCCCTTCCAAGGTTTTGTACCTAATTTGTATTCATAATTTTGTTTTCCTTATTTTAAAGAGGGTCCCAGAATTGTATGAGCATCAGGCCCCACAATACTTGGATTTATCCTTGTATGGAACTGTGACTCTCTAAGAAAAATAGCAGCCCTTCATTTTTTTCCTCCAAGGACTCTATGCTGATTCTTAGGGAACATGGCAGCCATGACGAACAGAAAAGCCTCGATGGCTTACCAGCCAAGTTGCCCCAGACACTTCTGTGCAGATCAAAGGAGGAAATGGGTGCTTCCTGGTGTTGCCATGAGGGGAAAATGACTGATGTGGGAAGAAATATAAATATTCTAACAAAGGGTTTTGTCAAAATTTATATTTAGCAACTACTATATAGTCACTTGCACTGTTAAGTTAATTTGGGTAATTTTGGAAATGTGAATTCCTAAAGCTGCCTTTTACTTTGAGATAAGGAATGTTCTTGTTTCGAGGTTGCTGCTTGTCATAGTGGGTGAAGTTAAGCACTGTGCCTGCACAGATTTGTGAGAACCAGAAACTGCAGTTCACATTTAAGTCATAGTGTTTAAAATTGCCCAAAATCAGTAAATTACTAGCCCCAAAGAATATAATTTTAAAGGTCTTTTTCTTAAAGAATATAATTTTAAAGTTATTTTTCTTAATTACCTAATTCTTTGGGGCCATCCACTCAAACATGTCTCTTCATAATCATGGCTTACATAGGAAATTTTAAAGAGCAGCTAAGGCAGAACTTAACCTTATAATAGACATGTTTTTTCATTGTCGAAGTGGCAGTTCCACTAGTAAAGTTATTGAGTACCAAGAACTTTTAAATTGTTAGTTAGTTGCTTTTCTCGTTAATGCATGTTGTTAACTTTTGACATAATTTTCACTTGGGGGAACTTTCTGGAATGATCAGCATGTTTGACAAATTGATTTGAGTGATGATAACACAGATTCATCCATTTTCATCACAATGAACGAGGGATTTGTGCATTTCACAGTGTGTAGACTCCCACAAAGAAAATAATTCATGTGTTACCTGCAAAATTGAGAGGGCAGGTTTTTTTCACTATTAACTTTTGAAAGATTATAATATGCTCTTATTTGTAACTTTTTCAAATTTTAGGAATTCTTCGATCATGTGAAGAAACTTTGGGATGATGAAGGTGTGAAGGCATGCTTTGAGAGATCGAATGAATACCAGCTGATCGACTGTGCACAATAGTAAGTCTGCTCTGAGTAGAGCCCAGGCCTCTTTGAAGATAGGATTGCATATGTGGTTGGTTGTACTATCTCCCAGGATTACTGACCTCTCTTGAGTGCAAGGAACAAATAATTAACATCTCACTACGGAAAATAAGCTTTTAAAATAAGGCATGTTTTGTAGATGGAAAATTGAAAATCCAATAGGAATCAGTTTCAGGGAAGAACCAGAAGGATGCTGTATTCATTCTATCTTGATCATGTTTTCAGTTCTATTCGTTTTTTGCTTCTCTACAGTTATAGGCATGTTCGTCAGTTATAATATACTTAGATATTCATTATTATATTTTAATTTTGGAACAAGGGCCCCCAAATTAAATTTTAAAATATCAACATCTGCAATCAAGCCCAAGCTCTTACTTAAAGTAATAAGTGATACATATTAAAAGTAGACTAGAACCTCGAAAGTAGATGGTCATTAATATAATAAGTAAATATTTGATGAAAAATATAATGACGAGAAATAAGGAAAGGACTCTGGTACCGAGGCTGGCTGGTTGTTTTACTCTGAAATGCGTGTTTTCCTATTTTCTTTTGCCACTTTAGATTCATTCTATAACTATTAAAGAATAATGGTCTCCCGGGAGAATGTTAGTCAAGAAGTTCTAGATAATGTTTGCTATTGTGATAACAAAAACTAATTGTTTTTACGTGACTCTTCAGGCAGCAAGAAATAGGCACTTTTACATTTTTAGTCTGTAAATTCTAAAAATTCATACATATGGAAGAGATTCATAAGCATAAAAATCTAGGAATTTATAATATTTGGAACCGAATAATGCAGCTCTGTTGACTTCAAGGAGAAAATAGTTGTGTGGCCCCAGCCCTTTCTCATCCATAGGAGTTCAGGCACCATCACCTTGTGACAGGCACTGAGAAGGGCCAATGGCAAGGCCCTGAGGAGGAGATGCTGGAACCCAGGCACTGACAGGAAGCCAGTCTGGGAGCGAACATATGGGTAATGGAAGAATGGCCATAAACGAGTGAGAGAGGTCGGTGCAGCCAGACCCTCCCAAGTGCTGAAGGCTATGCAAAGGAACTTGGATTTTTCTTCCAAATGGAATGAGTGACCATTGGTTCCATGAGTGAGGCTGTGAGGGTCACTCTGGCTGCTGTATGGAGAATTAACAGGAGAGATATCCCAGTGGAGTGCCTTGAGTCAGGTGGTAGCCATGGAAGTGAGCCCTGGGTGCTGAAGGGACAGAATGAGATGGTGGATTGGATAAGAGAAGCAGAGAAAAGGGGGCATCAAGGATGATAGTGCAGTGGGCCATGGTGCCATTTGTTGAGATGGGGAAAACTGAGAGACGCTGTTTATGGAAAAACAGAGGAAGGTATCAAGCTCCATTTGGAGAGGTTAAGTTTGAGATGCCAAAAGGATATCTAAAGGAGGCATTCAAGCAGATGGTTGTAGGAGCCTGGAGCTCAGAAGGAATACTGGTGATACTAGCATGGATGTTTTCAGCCCACTGTATACAAAGCCTTAGAAATGAGTGAACACAAGTGAAGTGGGTGTAGAGAGTGGAAGGTCCCAGACGAAGGAAGTTAAATCCCCAGGAGGGATGCAGCACAAATCCGCTCCACACACTCTGAAATGACCACCAAAAGCTTTGAATGAGCTTCCACGGCATATGCTAAAGAAACTATTTACTAACTAAAAATTGTTATTAACTGGAAAAATATTTTAAAATTTTTATTTCCTATCACACTTAAGAGTCCTTCAAGACTTACCTTAAATCTGTATTCCCTTTTTACGTTGGCCACACCCTTAAGTTTACATTTGTGAAGATACTACTGTGGTTACTCTCATGTCATTTAGTAGGTATGTTTACTTTCTTTCCACAACTGGATCACTCAGTCCATGAGAGCCAAGCTGGTTTAGATTTGGGTGTGGGAATAAGGAAAGGTTTAGAGCTCAAGTGCAATTTGAGAGGGTACTGGGAGTCCTCTCTCTTCCTGAAGGTCCTTTATCCTTTCCTTCTACTCTCACTCACTCTTTCTCTAACATGTCATTTCACAATCATTTAAAAGCCATGACGGAATTATATGCTAACTCACAATATTTTAGAGATGGAAAGGATATACTAAGAAAATGCTGACAACTGGAATTTCTAGCACAGCTCATAATAATATTTAAATTCATATACATTTACATTTAAAGTTGATGTGGAATATGCGTTTTATCATCATTTTTGAGTATTTCTCGAGCAAAGACGTCGTGAGGGAACACCACAGTGCTGCTCAGGAATTTCTCCTTCTTAAAAAAGAACAATTTATTCTTATTCACACATCACCATAGTTATAAAATTGATGATTTAATTTAAAATAGAACATGCAAATATAAATTTTTAAAACAAGTAGTTAGGATTCGGATGACAATAGGTAGTTCAGATTCAGATCTTACCTCTGCCACCAACCATTGGGTGAAACTTTGGGCAAATTACTTTAATGGGAAAAATCATGTGATCTATTCTCATACAGTCATTGTAGGATTAAATAAGTAGATATCCAAAGTCCTCAAAAGAGTTCCTGGCATATAGCTCTTGCTATTATGTCACCAGTGTGGAAACTGGGACCACAAGGGTAAACTAAGACAGCTAAGATCACAGTTTCCCATTAACAGATAAGATCACAGCCAAGATCTGCTTTTCTTTCAGTTTTGTCCTTTCAAATTACCAGGAACCACAGATAATAACTGCCTTGTGAAAGAGACTCTGGGCCATGAAGTCAAGACTCTCTTTCCGGGCTTGTCAGGAATAAAACACCAAATCATTTTTTATGCTTTCTTAACCTGACATGGCAAAATCACAGAAACCATTTCCCCTTCCAGACCTCACTATCTAGGTAACGTCAACAATTTTGCTTTTTTTATCCATTTTAATAAACATGGGAATCAAGTTAGATCAGTAACCTTTGTCTCTTAATAACAATATCTTATTTTTCCTATACACTCAAATTTTGAGATAGAGGGTAGTGGTGAAGGATTTCAAAAACAAGTAATATTTCAATAACATTTGTTAGACCAACAAATGCTGCCGTACCTTTTTTTAATGTTGCCAAATAAGATGTTAAAGAAATATAAGCTGCTTCCATCTTCCATCACCATCCATTCGTAAAAGAAAAGTCATTTCAACTTCAAGTCGGTGAAGGGACATGATCTCCGAGTAAAGCCCTGAGACTGCAATACGCCAGCCATCTTGTCCAACCCATGAGATTTTTAATTACTGAGAGAATGTGTTTAACTGATCCTTAAATATCCAGCTCCTACGTGAGTGTTCTTACATAAAATAGGTGCTCAGTAAGTCTATTTGAAATAAATGAATTGGCAGAATGGGAGCCCCATATTCACATGGCACTAATAGGAAAAGCTGACCCTGTCCCTTTAAAAGTGCACACCCCACCCCACCCCAGACTCACTCTGGAGCCCCCTCTTCTTTCCCCTTGCACATTCCCAGTGTTCCGACATGGCTTTTTTTTTTTTTTTCCTCTCATCTAAATTGCTTTGAAAAAGATCTGACTTGCATCTTGATATAAATCTAAGTCACGGTGCTACCTTGCTCAACAGCAATGATTTTTAACCTTAATTCTTATTATGATAGGAGTAATTCTAAGCCATGTTAAAGTAACTTCTTCCATGGCAGAAACCACAGGAATATTTGGGGGTAGAGATACTTCCCAGTGATACTGAAATTCTGTTAAGGCTGAGCTACTGATGAAGAATCTAGGGACAGTCTCACAGGTCCTCAAAGGCTTAAACACAGATGCTCAGCATCTTCACTCCTGGATATATAGCCAAGAGAATTAAAAACATATATCTGCATAAAAACTTGTTCATGAATATTCATAGCATATTCATATTGGTTATTATTCTTAATAACCAAAAAGTACAAACAAATCAACTGTCCATCAAATGATGTATGATTAAGCAAAATGTAAAACATGACACAGTGGAATATTATTTGGCAATGAAAAGGAATGAAGCACTGTACTACAACATGAATGGACCTTGAAAACATTATGCTGAGTCAAAGAACCCTGAATCAAAAGACCACATATTATATTCCATTTGTATGGAATGTCCAGGTTGGGCAAATCCATAGAGAGAAGGTAGATTAGTGGTTGCCAGAAGCTTGGGGACAGGAGAAATTGAGAGTAACTGCTAATGGATACAGAGTTTCTTTGAGAGATAATGGGAATGCTCTGGAATTAGATAGTAGTGATGGTCACACAACCTATGAATATACTAAAATCCACTGAATTGTATACTTCGAAATGGTAAACTTTATGTTATGTGAAATTATGTGAATTATATCTCAATCTAAAAATAGAAAGATTATATAGAAGGAAGGATCCAGGGAAAGCAATGGGAACACTGGTCAAGATTGGCGGTGGGTGAGTCTCCTCACAGAGCCAGGAGTCAGATGAATGTCTTAGTGTGCATTTATAAGGTCTGCTTCTTCATACAGCCACAGGCACATGCCACTCTCCTAGCTTGCAAACACATATAGTCAAATGGGAGCCCTCAATTCATAAAGCACCTCTGTTATACAAATGAAAAGGTTATTAAGATTGACGTCATGCTATTTGACATGGAA